TCTTGTTCTTGTTGTGAGGGCACATGGTTTCACGAGGGATAGGTAACGTTATTAGACTTCTCTATGATGTTGGGTGTTCAAGCCATGTGTGCATAGTGACATTGAGTCGGTTTTTGAGGTTAGGGTTGTTGTGAGCATGTTTTCTTTGTTTGAATATTTTTAAAGAATGACATAAGTAAAGGGAAGTGTATGTGATGTATATTCTAGAGCCTAATTGTAGCAAATAACCATGGTCATATGTGTAGTGTGCTTTGAATGATAAGAGCTTAATTTTGTTTCGTCTACTATATTGATGGTTTGTTCGAGGACGAACAAAGGTTTAAGTGTGGGGTAGTGATGTTGGGCATATTTCGATATGTGTTGATGTTACTTTACCCATATTTTAACTGCTTTTTGATGCTATTTGATCCTTAAAATANTAGTTTAGAATCAAATATTTTTAGGTTTAATTCTTGTTTAGATAATTAGGATAGTCTAATTTAGTTAATAGTTAATCACAAGTACTCGTGGGTTCGACATCCGACTTTTAGTCACTTTATTACTTGACGACAGCGTATACTTTCGTGTGCGTTTGGCTGCAACAAGTTTTTGATCGTCGGGAAAAGTCCAAAAATAAAATTTCAATTTTTTCTCAATTGTTTTTCTGTTTTTTTTTATATATATTTTTATCTTTTTTAATTAAGGTACTAAAACTACTACTACTACTACTACTACTACTACTACTATACTGCACCATTAATTCTACTAACTATGCTATTAAAAATAAGAAGCTAGCTAACAATAAAAAGATAAGAGACTAACAATATACTAATATATTCCGATTAATCTGAAAAATCAAAACCGACGATTCACACACATCATAATATATTTCTCAATTGTTTTTCTGTTTTTTTTAAATATATTTTTATCTTTTTTAATTAAGGTACTAAAACTACTACTACTACTACTACTACTACTACTATACTGCACCATTAATTCTACTAACTATGCTATTAAAAATAAGAAGCTAGCTAACAATAAAAAGATAAGAGACTAACAATATACTAATATATTCCGATTAATCTGAAAAATCAAAACCGACGATTCACACACATCATAATACATCATACAGAGGTAATCAAGAATCCTAATAGCCGAGCGGAATGGAAATGCTCAAAACGACCGGTCGGGTCGTTACAATTCGGGAAGAGATGAAATATTTTATTGGATGATTATTACTTCCTCTAGTCCATTTTAACTGACTTTTTAGCATTTTTTGTAGTCCATAATGTTTAATTTTTTCAGATATCAAGAAGGAATTAACTTCTTTTTTCGAAGTTTTTTCCGGAGTAAATAACCTGGAAGTATTTGTTGTATTTCCCAACGAACAAATTAAAGTTAATATGGTTAATTTTATTGTTAATTAATGCTAATAGGTGAATTTCTTAATATGTGTTAAAATAACCAAAAAATTAATTAAAAGTGGACCAGAGGGATTATTATTAATTTGGTGTTATTAATGATGGTTTAAACTTTAAACCCGTTAAAACTTCACGTAATGTCATGATTGCTTATGAATTAATTCCTGCCGTCCATATAAAGTCATCCTTTAAAAGCAATCATTTAGGGTTCATGTGTTTGGTATTAAAAATGAAATGGAACGGTTTAATACGAGATCTATGAATTGAATACAAGTGAGATATATGTTATGTCCTAACTAGAAAAAGAAAATGACAATTATCTTTCTACTTTTAGTAAACCTTACTATATATTGTACTCCATTTCCTATTTCTCCTAGCCAAAACAAATAGGGAAAATGTTATGCCACCGGGTCCTCTAGGGTTGCCTTTTATTGGAAATTTGGATTAATATGATAGTTTAACCCCTCATCTTTATTTTTGGAAACTTTCCAAGAAATATGGAAAAATCTTCTCTTTGAAACTTGGCTTTGCTACTATGGTAGTACTCCATCCGTTCATTTTTACTTGTCTCATATTCTAAAAATAAATTTTCACTTTTACTTGTCGCTTTTAGCATATCGGGAATGATTTAGAAGATCCAAAACCAAAAATAGTTGTATTTGCTAGCAACAACATAATGGACAAGGGCAGGCAATTTTTTTTCCATGTTATACCAACAATATTAATTACTCATTTCAAATCATTTTTTCAAATCTTGTTAAGACTAGAAATCAACACAAATGAGCAGATTTGCGATTAGGGATCATGAGGAAGAAAAGGGGAAAATCGACTGAGAGAGGATATTATATGATGTATTAACAAAATGAATGGAAAAGAATAGTCTAGAATGTCACTTAACCCCTATTTATATTTGGGCCTTTACAGTGTAATAGCAAAAGAAAAAGAAATTTTGATACAAATAAATAACAGGCTATGCCCAATTACTCCAGCTCTTGTGTTGGCCCAATCTTCGTGGCCCAATCTTCAGCTAACTCCAACATCCCCCCTCAAGTTGGAGGGTGGACACATGTCCAACTTGCCAGTCAAGGTGCGATGGTGCTGGCTTGTCAAAAGTTTAGTAAAAATGTCAGCTAGCTGTGAACTAGTAGAAACATGGGACTAGAGATATAAGAGCATTCGCCAACTTGGTGCGAATGAAATGGCAATCGACTTCGATGTGCTTGGTACGCTCATGGAACACCAGGTTCTTGGCGATATGAATAACAATCTGGTTGTCGTACAAAATGGGAACTGGAGAACAATAGAGATACCCAAATCAGATAAAAGTCGAACTAACCAAGCTAACTCGGCTACCACCCTACTCGTGGATCTGTATTCTGCCTAAGCTGATGACAGGGAAACAATGTGCTATGTTTTAGAATTCCAACTGATGAGACTCCCACCCAATTGAATACAAAAACCAGAAACTGATCGCCTAGTCTCGGGGCAAGCAGCCCAATCACTGTCACAACTGGCCAACAAAGACAAATCAACAGAATTATTCAGTTAAAACCCCAAAATCAGAAGTGCCTTTAAGTATCTCAATACATGTAAAGCGACAGTCATATGTGGAACTCTAGATCGTTGTAAAAATTGACTTAAATATTGGACAACAAAGTATAAATATGGTCTTGTGTGGGTCAAAAAATTTAGTTTCCCAACTAGACTCCTATAACTTTAAGGTTGAGGCAGTAGCTTCCCAACATCAGAATGCAACTTGTGATTTATGTCCAAAGGACTAACAATAGCAGAAACATTAGCACAATTATATTCAGATAGAAAAATCAGAGATAAACCTCTTTTGAAGAAAAAACAAAATACCGGACTGAAGATAACAGACACAATATCCAAAAAGTAGTTAAGCAACCCAGGTCCTTAATTTTGAATCGGTCATCCAAAAAGGCTTTAAGAGTAAAAATTTCAGATAAGTCATCCCTAATTACAATGATGCCATCTATATAAATAGATATAAGGGTAGTAAAATAGTGAGTTTTCTTAATGAACAAGGAGTAGTCATTCAATGAGTGATTATACCCCCAGGTAAAGAGCATGAGACAACTTGGCGTACTATTGCCTAGAAGCCTGTCTCAAGCCATAAAAAGACTTTTGCAGTTTTCATACCAAAGTAGTAGACCTAGAAGAAACAGAAGAAGTAGCAGCCACAGAAAGACCTTGAGGAAGTTTCATATAAACTTCTTCATCTAGATCTCTATGTAGAAATGCATCATTACCATCCAACTGAAATAGGGACCATTAGGAGTGTTAAGTATTTGAGCAGTAGGGAGAGGAGCATCTGGAGGGACATAAGAAACAATAACATGATCAGGAATAGAATCATAAAAAGTAGGCATTGAAGGAGGAAGATGAGAAAGTATAAGGAAAAACACATTCATGAAAAATGACATCCCTAGAGTAGATAACAGACTTAGTGGTGAGATTGTACAGTTTGTACCCCTTTTTAGCAAAGGGATAGCCAATGAACACACAAGGAGATGCTTTAGGTTGAAACTTATCTCTATGACACTTGGGAACACTGGCATAGCAGAGGCATCCAAAAGATTTTAAATGGAATAAGAAGGAGTAACCCCATAAAGTAATTCAAATTGAGTCTTATTGGACAAAACTATATAGGAAAATCTATTAATAAGATAGGTTGCTGTTAAAACACAATCTCCCCAGATATTGGTAGGAAGATTGGATTAAAACAACAAAGCTCTTGAAGTTCTTAGTAGATGTATATGTTTCCTTTCTACCACACCATTATGTTGTGGTATGTGTGGGAAAGTTATTTGATGTATGATACCATTATCAAAAAAGAACTGAATGGCTAAATTGGAGGAGCCAAGCTCCAAGGCATTATCACTCCTAAACTTTTGGACATAAAGGTGAAACTATGTCTTGACCATGACTATGAATGCTTTAAGTAGGGTAAAGGAATAACTCTTGGAATGTAAAATGTGTCCATGTTGCTCTTCTATAGTCATCAACTATTGTCAAAAAATATTTTACTCCAGAATAGGTTTGGATGTGGTATGGTCCCCAAGTGTCAACATGAATAAGTTGGAATAATGAGGTGGAATGGGAAGAACTATCTGAGAATGGTAACCTAGGCTGTCTAGCTAAGGGACAAATAGGACTAATAAAAGACATCTTAGCAGACAAGTCATTAGAGATAGAAGATATATGGTTCATTTGAACAAAAGGAACATGCCCCAATCTATGATGCCAAAGAGCATCATTTTTATTCACATTATTTTGAACAGTACAAGAAGGTAAAGTAGAAATATAACAAGGGTTCTCATTTTGCACATTTTGAACAGTATCACAAGGTAAAGTAGAAGCAGAACTGTGGCTCATATTTTGAACATTTGTATGCAAAGAAAATTCAAAATTTTGTACTACATTATTGAAAGCAGAAATAGAATTATCAGGTGATGTAGGAGGAACAGAATACTTGAGGTGAAACTTGTATAATCCTTGGTTCATCCTACCAAGTTCCAGAAGTTTCTTCATAGAATAAGCCTGTAGAATTATACAAGAAATATAAGTGAACAACACATAACAATTGAATTGTGTTATTAGCTTACTCACAGAAATTAGATTGCAATGGAAAAATTGAATATACAAAATATTTGTAGAGTGAAAAATGGTAACAAAGTGAGAGAACCTGTACAGGTTACCTTAACTTTGTAACCATCAGGTAGAGAAACTAAGAAAGGAATAGGAATGGGTGTAATATTAAAAAGGAGGTCCTTATTTAAAGTCATGTGGTCAGTTTCCCCTGAATGAACTATCCAAACCCTTCCAGCTACACTAGCCAACATGCGCATATTAGAACTACCATTTAAACACACATACAGAGAAGAAGTACTACCAGCAAAGTTGGCAGATCCCATTAGAACAGGTTGAGGACCTAAATCACCCAGTGTAGTCTGACTGAGCAACTGCATCAACTGGGAGTACTGCTCTTTGGTGAGACCAGGAATCAAAGAATTTTGATCAGTTAGAGAATATAATGCAGAATATTCGAAGTCTGCCCCTCAACACTTGCAGTAGTACCAAACTTTTTACCCTTTGTGTATTGGAAATTTGGTGGAAATCCATGTAATTTATAGCATTTTTCAATTGTATGACCAGGTTTCTTTCAATACTTGCAAGACAAAGTAGCCTTAGACTGATCAAAATTGGATTTTTGGTTGCTTGGAACAAAGTTCCCCTTTTGTATATATTATTTTGTAGATGGGAATTGAGGATGGAATTTGTTAATATTGGAATTTGCATTAAAGAGGCTGACTCTGTGTTACACTGGGTAGTGGCAACTACATGTCTCTGTTTTTCATCTTGCAACAAAATACTGTAAACAATATCAAGGGATGGCAGAGGTTGCATCATCAAGATATTGCTCCTCACCCCCACACAAATATTATTTAGACCCATAAGGAATTGGTGAACCCTGTCCTTTTCCTTCTCCTTATGGAGAAGCTTCTTAGCAGCACAAATACAAGAATTTGCATGCCTGGTACACATAACCCCTAATTCATCCCAAATTCTTTTAAGTTTGTTGAAATATGAAGCTATGTCGAGAGTCCCTTGATAAGTAGATGCAAGTTCGCTCTTTATTTCAAACACCTTGGTTCCATTAACAGTCCCATACCTATTAATCAATTATTTTCAAATGCTTTCAGCAGTTTCAGAATATTGTATACTTTTAGCTATATCTGGAGAGAGTGAATTGATTAATCAGGATATGACCATATTATTGCACCTGTCCCACTGCCTATGCTGGGGAGAATCCACAGCACGCTTGGTGCAAGACCCTTTGATAAAACCTATTTTATTTCTAGCAGACAGTGACACGATCATACTTCTCCAACCCCCAAAACTAGTCCCTGAAAAGGCACGACAACCAAAGACACCCCTGGTACACCAGAAGGAAAGAGAAACAATGGATTTGAGGGTTCAGGAGTATACGTAGGAGAGGAAGAACTCGAGTTCGGAGTAGAATTAACCATGATAACAGAGTATAACAACAAAAATTTCACAGCAAAGAATATTATCAACTCATGCAAGAGAACAAACAGAGAAGGATGTACCACACTTCTTCGCAACCTAAAGACGAAAAGACTTGAGAAAACTCAACAACCGCAACCAAATAAGTGCTCAAAGTCAAGATTGAAAAAGGAAACCCTAGCTCTAGCGAAGAACAACAGAACTCCGATAATCACTGGAAACCTAACTTTGGCGAAGAACAACAAAAGTCTGATAATCACCAGCAAACTCGAACCAAAATATATAGTCAAACAGTCAAGAAAACTCCCTCAATTTGAAAATTGAACAAAAAACCAATGAAAACTCCAGATTTTGAAACCTAGCGAAAATTGAAACGATGATGATAAACCTGATGAAATTGGACGAGAGTAACATCAGTCGATGTAGAATGGTGGGGACTACCAGATTACCCGCTCTGATACCATGTTAAGACTAGAAATCAACACAAATGAGCAGATTTGCGATTAGGGTTCATGAGTAAGAAAAGGGGAAAATCGTCTCAGAGAGAGGATATTTTCTGATGTATTAACAAAATGAATGGAAAAGAATAGTGTAGAATGTCATTTAGCCCCTATTTATGTTTGTGCCTTTACATTGTAAAAACAAATGAAAAGGAAATGTTGATACAAATAAATACCGGGCTAGGCCCAATTACTCCAGCTCTTATGTTGGCCCAATCTCCGTGGCCCAATCTTCAGGTAACTCCAACAAATCCATTACAAATATATATCAATTAATATGAGTATCATGGTAAATTATGCATTTCATTTATTATTTCTTAAGGGTGTGCAAAGTCCATAATGGACACGTAAAAGTGAACGGAGGGAATGGTTTCTTTAGCAAAACTAGCAAAATAGGTAACAAAAATACAAGATTTAGAATTTTTTAGTTGACCCTCTAGTTTTGGGCAGAAAAAGTTGTCTTACAATGGTCATTATATTGCCTTTGCACCTTAAATGCACAAAGTCTGTGTTCGTTTATTCAGTCTCAAGAAAGTGCAATCGTTTTAGTCTGATTCGTGAAGATTAAGTCTCAAGAATGATAAACAAGATATCAACAAGTTGCCCCTTCACAAATTACCAATTTGGTTATTTCATTAACTAAATTGAGAGGAAAAAAATGAGTATGTCTCCTGTAGCGGATCCACCCCTTTAGCAAGGGGTGAAATGGCACCGCTAAGATAATAAATTTTTATATACTTATGTTTAAATTTTCTTAAACTAGGTTAAATATTTGATCCTGCTACCCGCGGCCATAAACTAAAAAAAGGTGTCATGACTGGTAGATCTTTTTGAAAGCTTCTCTTGTGGGTAAACTTCAAGTTAGAATTTATCTTGAATCTTGTCCGACATTCCCTTTTCTTTGTGCTTTTTATTTTCTTTTGTCCCAGTGATTTTCTTTTTCGGCTATCCCCCAATTTTTTATTTGTCATTTTTATTATTTTTATATTTTTTCTCTATTTTATTATTTTTTATGTGATGTCTAGCAAGAACACTAAAAAAAGACACTCCAAAACATTACAATTATATAAAATAAGCATTCTTCTTAATCTTAAATTTATGAGTTTTCTTCTTTCAAATCCGAACAACTTGGGTCTTAATGGAAATTTTGGATTGAGATAAAATATATTTCATTTTTTTATTATATCATAAGAATTTGTGTTATTCTATGGTATTTTGGTAATAAATGTGAATATATTACCATAACAAACCAACAATTTAATACAACCCACGAGCATCCCATGTTACACTAATATAACCAAAAGGACCTCCCCTATCATCTTTATCCTCCTTATAATAAATTCCAATAGAAAAAACTAACATAAAAACACACTGTTTTATCGTCTATGCTATCTACATGTATGTTGAATCAAAGAAATACATTTTCGCGCCTTCTTTATTGTTTGTAAGTCTTCCAGCCTTGCTCCGATCTCTCTTTGTATTTGTGCTGCCACAAGATCTGTATTTACACCTGTACAGCTAAATATTTTCCAATACCTTGCTTTCCATGTATGGTATATCAGTGCTCCCCATATAGCTGAGGCCACTTCCTTCTTCATCTGCTTCTACTTTCTAGTTTTCAACCAGTGCAATGTTTTAATCACCCCTCTGCTCCCTAATTGTATACCCCAACTATGTGCTAAGTTGATCCCTCAATGCTGTAACCTATGAACACTCCATGAACAAGTTTTTTTGTGTTTCTGTTGCTGCAATATCACATTGTTGACAAGTTCCATTATCAACTGGAATATGCAGCCTTTGTAATGTCTCATTCGTAAGAAGTCTATCTTGATATGCAAGCCATACTCTAAATCTATGCCTTGGCATCATTGCCTTGGTCCATATCAAGTCAGCTTCTTGTAATTTGGTTAAGTCTGTTAACATTGCATTATAGCTCCTTGTCATATAATATTCTCCATTGGTAGTTAGTGTATACCTACCATTCTGATACCACTCTGCCATATTACCTTTTAGTGCATTTAGTTTTCTTCAATACCAGCTGCTGTCTTGTGGTGGAGTATGCCCTCATATGGTTTCATCTTGTTCTATATAAATCCCATGCACCCATTTCACCCATAACAAGTATCTTTTGCCATTCAATTGCCTCAGTAGCTTACCTACTGAAGCTTCATATTATTTCCTGCATCCCTTGATGTTAAGACGACCAAACTTCTTTGTCTTGCACACCTTTTCCCATGCTACCAATGTTACTTTCATCTGCTACTCTGAATTTCCCCACAGGTAATCTCTGCATCTCTTATCAACCTCCTTAAGGATAATTTGGGGCAGTATAAAGACAACTCCCAAGAAGTTGTAAATAGAAAATAAAATTGCATTGATTACCTATAATCTTCCAGCATAAGATAGTTGCCTAGAGTATGCCTTTATGATTCTATCTGTCATCTTGTCCACCAGCTGGTGTCACGACTCTAATATTTCCATCGTAGGATGTCGTGACGGCGCATAGTCTCTAAGACTAGGTAAACCGATTACAGTAAAAATTTAAGCCCCCTTTGTTTTAATTTGAAACAACGTTTAATACAAGTATCGAAAACAAAAGAGAAAATAATCATAACAGCCTCCCAAGACTAGTAATACAGAGTCAAGAATTCGAACTGAATATATGAAAAGATCTGAGAGATCGAAACACAATACTGTCTAAATAAAAGCTAACAATACAAGAAAAGAAAGAACTCTAGGGACTGCGACGACCAAGCAGCTCTACCTTGAATCCTCGCGATCAATATGCTAATTCTGCCCGAGTCTGATAGCTCAAATACCCGGCTCTGCATAAAATGTGCAGAAGTATAGTATGAGTATACCACGGTCGATACCTAGTAAATATCAAGACTAACCTCGATGGAGTATTGACGAGGTACAGTCAAGACACTCACTAGTCAAATAACATGTGCAGTATAATAGTATACAACTAATAATGGAAAGTAGGAATCAGTAAATAGCAACAAAATCAACATGTGCATATAGACAGTAAAGCATTGAGAATACTAGGAAAACATCATTTAAAACCAGATAAAGAACACACAGGACAACCAACTAATCAAGCTTCCTAACGCATGTTTTCACAACAAAGTCTCTCTGCGGTACCTCATCTCATAGTTATAAATTACGGGTCTCAACCCACTTTAATATACTCAGGGCAACTCGTACCCACATCTAGAATCTCAATCGCACGGACAACTCATGTGACAATAACATCAAAATTCATCTTCTTAAATCGATATGAGTCATTAATTACGTGTATGCTTGTGTGAGTGTCCTATCACAATTCAAGTCAACAAGTAGAGTAGAGACAATGAATGGAACATAAGAAACAATCACCACAAAAATGTACAAGGTATAACTCACACAAAATAGGCGCACCACTACACAATTATCATCAATAAAATGCCCCGAGGCCATCACAAGTCATCACACACTATTCTTCAACATAGCTCACCTTGTCTCGCCACGTGCACAATAATAAAGTAAATGCCTGCCTTGTCTCGCCGCATACGCAAAATAATGTTCCCACCTTGTCTCGCCACATACGCAACCCACATAATAGCCCTCATTGTCACGTCGCATGAGAAAATATCGATAGTAACAATAGCACAGACAACTCACGTGCGAATACCCCGACAATCCCCTCAACAATGTCACGTGTGCCAACAACATAACAACACAATATAATGACTTGCACTACATATTCTCATATGTCACAATATTTCTTCAAAATAATTTCAATATCACTACCACACATAGCCCCCGACTCAACAACACCAAGTATAACAACAACAATAATGACAACAATAGGAATGAGACGATTAAAGAAATACACCGGGAGTAGCTACACCGAACTAAGGCAATTAATGAATCATAGAAGAAAACAAGGGATATTATGACACAGAACAAAACAACCAAACACAAATTAAGAATTAAAAAGTATCAACAAGAGTCACTACCGAGGTACCGCCTCGTAAGCTCAAATCATAAATAATTCACAATCTTTCCTTATATCACCGCGGGAGCCTTATATTTAGTTTTAAAAATTATTTTTTTCTCGAAATAGCATCCCACCTTATCACACCACATGACTTCTAACAGCTCCCTTATTAGCCACGCGTATCAATCCCACCTTATCTCACCACATGCGTTTGAACCCCGAACCTTATAGCATCACATGCGTATCAATATCACAACATATCACAAATCGTACCTCAAGTGTCCAAATATTACAACTTGCCAAAGAAATCAACAATAAAATTATTCTTCATAATAAGGAGCCCACGGCTCAATCACAATGTACACAAAGTCTCAACAACAACAACATGAATGGAAAAGTAACTCAGCAAAGGAATAACATCTCCTTTAATCACAACTTCAGGAATAATAGATTAATGCCTCTTGATAACTAAAATTCCCATTTAATTATTCGAAGATAAAATTAATAATGAAAGTGTATCCACGAAATGGCTACTTAACAATAAAAGAATCCACGAAATGGTTTAAGTGGTAAAAATTCCAAATAAGCATAAAAGAGTAAACTCGGCAAGTAAAAAATGTACATGTAACTACAACTTCAAACAAGGCATGTAATAGTGGACATGGCGAATAAAGATATAACAATATGCCAATAATTTTTAATTAAATACATAAAAGATTCCTTAGATTTTAAACCTATAGAAATTTTTACATATAAGTCGAGTACGTAATCATCACCTCACATACACAACTTTCACATTTCAAAATTAGCAGAAGTAACTCAATTCCTAAGGGGTATTTCCCCCACATAAGGTTAGACAAGATACTTACTTTGGTGAAGCTAAACTGATGCTTTAAAATGGCCTTCTCGCGCGAAATAAACCTCCGGACGGTTCAAATCTAGGCAAAATAATTTCATAACATCAATAAAACTCATAGGTATTATTTTCGAATAATAAAATTTAGATTTTCAATTTCAACTAAAAAGCCAACCCGAAAGTCAACCCTGAGCCCGCACCTCGGAATCCGACAAAAATTCATCAAATCCGAATACCCATTCCAATACGAGTCCAACCATACCAAAATTATCAAATTTAGATAATGAATCGCCCTCCAA